ATATATATATATATGCAAATTTGATTTGAAGCTAATTAAAATTTGATCAATTATCAAGAAAAAATTTGAGCTATCTTCTCCTTACTCTATTGTAGCTGTCAACTACTTTCTAATTTACTCCGCACATAGGTATCAAAAAGAAGTTTCTACAAGGCGTTAATCATAGCATACAAAATGCACAAGAGATTTTGTTAAAATATTATAATGCAAGTAGTATGAGTTACATGAAATCACCTTCTTTATATCAACCTTTTCTGTGAATTCTTCGCATGAAGTCTTCTTAAAAGGAGCTAACCACCATCATTGTTGGGTGACGCATGAGCCTGAGAACACTAGTGTAATGAAACTAAGGGAAATAAAATCTAAACTTGCAAAACACCAGAAAATTTAAAGATGAGATTATTTTCTAATGCTTTTCTCAAGTTTCTGCTACAAGACACCAAGTATAACAATCACCATCCCAATTTTTGAATTTTGCAGCTCCCAAGATGCTCAAACTCCTTGGAGTTTGTGGTTGGCCATTGCCATTATCTTTTCAATTTCAACCTTCATTGACATGTCCAACCTTACTAATTGGCCTACACCACTGACTAGGAGCTGCCATTATTGGTAAACATAGACCCACTACTTACTCTAATTGCGACTTCATTTTGATCAACTTCACTTGTAATTACCGGTCACCACACCAACTAGCCAACTTATCAGATCTCTTACCAACTCATTTGCAGAACCGAGCAATCACTCAACATGCAAGTTGGTTATCAAACACCTTGAAAACTTAAGAATGATATGCATTCCTTTTGGAACTATGATGTATGTTATACAAGTACAACACTCCATCTCATCTCCTTCAATAATACAAAGATGCAGTGGAATAGCTTAGATTAGGAAACGAAATAATTTGTGATATCAGTAACAAATCAATCTAAATCAATTGATTCAATTTTTTATTGATTAAGGGATAGGATTTGAGGAAATTTAGATCCATATCATAACAATTTGTCACTTGGAGATTAATTTCAGATGTGTTGTTAAGAGTGAATCATCTTTGTGTGACACCCTCTCTTTATCAGCCATGAAAGTTAATTGAGGTTGTGCAGTGCTTTAGCACATTTGTGGTAGGCATTTATCACAATATTTGTCTTGCTGCTTTAATGCTCCTTGATCTTGAAATACAATTTCCCTTGTCAAGCTTTCTTGTCCTTTGGATGCTCCAATTTTACATAAAATTTATCTCGCATTGCTCATGTAGAATCACTAATAATATATTTCTTTGTTTATCCCACTTTCTTGGTGTTTTATGTTATTTACAAGTACCATCCTTGCTTCCTCTTACTATCACCATAACACCATTTGGTCACATTCTTACTTTAAATATAAAAAGTTGAAATGTAATGCAATTCATCTAATCGCCCAATTAAGATCATGTTTCTATTCAAGCTAGGAATATGCCACATACTATAAGACTTCCACATAGTCACACCAGTAGTCTCACTTTACACATCAACCCCTTTGAAGGTTTCATCACCAATAAGATGAACATCTTATAGTTCCCTTTAAAATAGTTAGCAATAAATGTTTTATATGGATTTGGATGAAAAAAATGCATGAATTCATAAGTTCAGGCTCCATATGACTATTCACACTAAAAATTAGTGCATCATATATCTTTCCATTTGCAACATTTATGTATTTCTACATTTGATTTAAACTCTATAGACCTTTTTGTTGTCGATAGTCCCTTTTCCTGTGGCCAATCTTGTCACATTGGTAGCACATACCACTTCATTCTTTTGAATTATTACTCTACAAAATTTTGGATATGCCTCTATTGTTATCTCTTCATGCACTTATTCCTCTATTTTCAATATTTAAAATAGCAGAAAAGAAATATACACTTATTCTTGTCCCTTAATGTCCTTGCATAATATCAAGTCATAAACATCATTGAGCTTCAGCTTGATAGACATGCAAGAACTCTCGACCTCTGTCACAATTATAGACTAGCTTTTCTAAATTGATGGTAGCAAGCTCAAAAAATGAACTTAATTGTCATACTTCATATTTCGATTGAACGATTTGGTAAGTTGCGTTGGAAATGCATTTAGCTTTCTTTAGAATAGAAAATTTTTCATTAGATATATCTTATTTATAGTTGAAGGTTTCTTATACATAAATGATAGAACTTTCACCACGTCGCTTGTGATATTCTCATACAATATGTTAAAGGCAACATCCTTTCCCAATGTTAGATGTAGAACCTCAACAAATACCTATTTAGAAGATCCTAATCTTCTTGGGTCCTGGCTATCAGCGTTATCTTATAGAGTGGTGCATATTTGTTTTTTGGAATATTAGGCCTGTAATTTGGATCTTGTACTTGAAATACTTTCCATCAAACTTGTTGTCTCATCCTCTAACCTCCCTACTACTACTTTTGTCTTAGAACTCTAAAAACCTAGCTTTGATAATAGTTGTTAGGGAAGAGCATGTGCTTGGGAGCAATAACATAAGGAGATGGTCATAGAGTGAAATAAATTTGAACCCACTAAGAAAGCACCAGAAAATAAGATACGAGCTTCACATAGTTCAAAGATATTCATTTATGTTCGTGCCTGTAGAAAGAGATATATGTTTCCACTACTAACCCAAAGAAAATATATTTTCATGATAAAAAATTTAGCCACGTAAATCTTCTCTCCTGTTGTCTTTCTAGCCATCTATATTTTTCTTTTGTAACTGCTCTCCTTTCTCATCTTTTTTTGTGTTTTTTGTATGACATTACTTTCTCCTTACCATTGGTTTCTTCTGCAATTCACCAAGAATAATCCCTAGCAATCTCATCTGCTAAGCACACCCAATTGTCAAACAGTGCTACTCCCAATGTGGTCGAACTACTTCGAGACTCACCCCTACAACTATCATCTTCTTAGACTTAACCTTCCTATTGCTATCCTTGTTTACCAATCTATGCACCAGCCAGAAGCCATTGTCATTGGCAAAGAAGAGTCCAAAATTAAGATCCATATTTTAACAACCAGCTGCCAAAAAGCCCAACTAAAATGCTTTTTTAATCTACTAAATATAATCGCTGTCATCTCCACCATCTTCTTCACATTCTCTCCTCTAACTTCCCTTCATTATTTCCATACCCACAAGCTCTACTAGTGCATCTTAATCATCTCTGCCTTATCCTAGATGTCCTTCCCGCTAACTAGTTTCTTAGTGTTTCTCCGCCAAACAGTGCTTTAACCTAATTTGAGAGGCGATTATACTTCACCGGCAAATCTATCTCAATTTTAGCATTGTGCTGCTTTGTTATTCTTTCAGAAGTTATCAATACCGTCGGGCAACCTAGAGCCCAGATGACAATAATACGTAATTCTCATTTCCTGTTGCAAGTGTCCAACAGATATCTTCTTTCTAGAATTTTACATCCAATTCGGGCACTCACAGTTTCTTGGGTTCCCTTTCTCTGACACTTAAGTTTGAATAATGGGTTAATCCATGGAATGCTTGATAGGCTTTTTGTTAGTGGTAAAGACTACCAGTATAAAATGGCACCCTAGTTCTATGATGGACAAGTAGCAATGTATAATGGCTAGCTGTAGGAATGTTTAAGTCAATGAAATTGCTTCTTTAGAATTATTCTAAATGAGTAAAGTGTTCACTTGTACAGAGTCCTTATACCCTTAGATTTGATTGATGAGCTTGCATCTCTCTTTTATAGTTGCCTGTCATATTGATTCATTGGCACGATTTCCATGATTTGTAGGTTTTCTATCAATCATAAATGTTCTATGGTTTAACAGCTATAACCATCACCAAACTTTTTCTGCACAACAAGAAAGGCATACTGTTGCAGACTTGTGATTCTCAAAATAACAGAACAAGCCTTGGAAGTCTGTTAGCTTATACGCTTATTTCAGGAAAAGAATGCTTTTATGGAGACTCAAAATCCTTCGGGTGGGGGCCCGATGGGGATTGACCTTTTGTTGTTGGTAAATAAATTTACCGGCTTCAAAGGATGATATTAAAAATATAACGGCTTTGGAATAGGGGGGTTGGAGAGGATGAATTTAGGATAAATAACAAGATTGGGGTCAACTAAGTGAGGTCAGCAATCATGGTATAAAACCCTATAATCTTACTTTAGGCTTGAGAAACTACTTCGAATTTTTTTGGGGGTGTATCTATTTATGTTACGAAAAGTTTCTTGATTTTCAAAGATGTTTGGATTTTTTTTTCAGATTTTATTCCAAGATTAGGTTATGCTTATCTCAATTTCAACAACTTCATTGAGGGAGATGGTTGGCCTTAGGGGAAGGAGATTGGGAGCTAATAGAGCAATCATCAGAAGCCGCAGTAAGAGGAGCAGTGAACCCATGTTGAAGAATTTATATTAGATTATAATTTAAATTTGAGTATTTTAATTCACATAATTTTCTTATTGTAAGAGTGTGTGTTAAGTGTGGCAGAGATGAGAATGCTCAGGTGGATGAGTGGCTTTACCCTTAGAGATAGGATACGAAATGAGCATATATGTGAAAAAAGGTTGGAGTAGCTCCAGTAGAAGATAAGATTAGAGAGAGTCGCCTTAGATGGTTTGGTTACATAAAACGATAGCCTTCCGATGACCCGGTTAGGAGAGTAGAGGTATTAGATTTGACTTATGTCGTATTTCTTGACCTATCTCTTTGATGAGTAGTAGTTTATCATTTTTATTTGCTTTTTTCCTTTGTTTTGTGTTGTGGGAATCTTGGGCAACCATCCCTCTATCTCTCCACAAAATTTTATAAATCCACGCTAAAGTGGTCAGCCAACCCTTGTTCAAATCAGACAGTATTATTCCACAAGCTTTTTGGTCTATTGTATCTTATCATCCATTTAAAAAATTAAGATTAAAACATCTCTCTCTATCACTTACATGAGTTTTTTCATAACATTTTTCCCCAAGGCCAAATACCTACCCTCAAGGCTATTGTGTAGATTGGGTTTTGCATGACCTAATTTTGGAATAAAATATGAGAAAAATATCGAATTATCTCCAAAATCATGAATATTTTCAGAACATTAGTAGACACACACCTCCTAAAGTTTTTGATTGGTTTCAAGCCTTGAAACCATCTCTGCCATCCACACTAAAGACTAAAGTCAAATCTTATGTTTTGTGTCTTAGGCGTTGTATTCACTTTGTTGATCCAAACTTGCTGTTTATCCTCGATCCATCTCTCTAAATCTTATTTTAGAGGCTCTATATTTTTAATAACATCCTTTAAAATCTCCTGAGCCATTTGCCCACCACAAAGAGCCCAATCTCTACTAGGCCTTCACACCTTTTAAAAGACTCTAAAATTTATTTTTGACAGCAATAATCCCCTTTCATTTCAACAAACCACAAATATAAATATTCAATACAAACCCTAAATGCCCCCCGCCACATCCTTTTTTTTTTTATTTGAGAGAATTTCCCCCATCATGAGTTGGTTCTAGCTTGCATCTATTAAATAATTATTTGTATATTTCATGGAAGTAATTATTTATTTCACAATTTAGAACTCTTTGCTCATGGTTTGAAAATTTAATCTCTAGTTAAATTTAAATTTTCAAATTGTCTTCTCCCCATAATCTAATGGTAATAAAACACACGAAGTCTTACCATAAAAAAATATACAAAAAATGCACATAATCTATATAATAATCTAATGCAAATTCTTCATGATGCTATTTGTGATGGATCCACTACTAGCTTTAGCTCCTTGCGATTAGTTCAGGACCTCCGTGTGTTGCATCACTTCTTAATATAATTATAGAATGGGAATTAGGTTTGTGTGTAGCAAATCCTTCAAGAACCAAAATCATTGGCATGTTCAGCGCTTATCATCGCCATTAACATCTGCAATGGCTTGAGCTTACCTCAAATTCTATTAGTGTTTATCACAACACACTACAGTAAACATTTACCTGCATGATTGTAGAATAGTCGATTCTATTTTTCATATGGCATGTTTGATTCTTCGCTTCCAACAGATTTCTGGCATCTATAATAGTGTCATTAGATCCTACCACATTCTCAATTTCCGCCCCAACTCCCCAATGACTTTTCACATAATTAAGTTCTATGATAAGGATTATGCCATAGCATGAAATGGCTGTTGTTCCATTTAGAAAGAAATTTCTGAAGATTTTAATATATCCGTGGTAGTCGTAACAATGCTATAAGCAATCTGGTAAAATTCTATGTTCTAAGATTGTTAATTTATTTATAAAATTGAAATTTATGTAATTTTGTTATAAACAGTGCCCAAGCTAGCAATTATGAAAGGATTGGAGAAGTCTATTATACAGGCGCATTACATCTTGTGTATTCCTTGGAATGAGTTGCTTTCTTATTAGTTGCAGAAAGTGGAGAGATTAGTTACCGTATAAACTTCTCTTTTACTTCATTTAATTTGACGGACTTATGCATTTATAGATTGTAAACGGAGTTCTTTGAAATTCAAGCCACATCTTTTCGAAGTTGACATCTCTTTACATTGTTTACTTAGAATTAACATCTATTTCAGTATTTCATAATCCTTTTAACCAATTTAATGCTTCGGAACCAAAATTTCTTATTCAAAATAAACATATTTTGTCATATATTTATGTTTATATTATACGTATTTATTTATTTGGCATCAAACGGTATGAATTCAGCATGCCAAGTTCTCAAATTGTTTTTTTCTTTGTAAAATCAGGTTCTACGCCTAATGTTTTTCCACTTTGTCCTATTCAGGCTAGAATAATTCAGGGAATAGGATTTATGAATGAAGATAGCTTTGTGCTACCCGAGCAATTTTCACAGAATAAAGAATGGATTCCTCATGAAGCTGCAACTATAATAGAAATGACTAAGGCATCACAGAGTGCATTAGAGATTCAGATGCAGACTTCCCAAGAAACCATCGGGCCTATTGATGAACAGGAATATCTTGGAGAAGTAGAAGACGTGAAGGCCAAATATTCTGATGAAACAGACAAGGAAACTAGCATCCAAGATGGTGATGCATCCTGCTTAGCTACTTGCAGCACAGGTGACATTGAAGATGACCCCTTCAAAAGCTCTTACTCCTATGAAGTAGCTGAAGGTGGAATAGAAGATGAACCTGGTTCCATGACATCGTGTGTCGGAACAAGGTGGTTTCGGGCTCCCGAACTCCTTTACGGCTCTTTAAACTATGGGCAAGAGGTGGATCTCTGGTCATTGGGCTGTATTTTCGCAGAGCTGCTGAGCCTGGAGCCTCTTTTCCCCGGGACTTCCGACATTGATCAGATTGGTAGAATCATTAGTGTTTTAGGGGACTTCAATGAAGATACCTCACCTGGTTGTTCGAAATTGCCGGATTATAACAAGATTGCCTTTGCCAAGGTTGGAAGTCCCATTGGTTTAGAAGCCTGCCTTCAAGATCATTCCCCCTCTGAAGTTGCTCTTGTGAAGAAACTGGTTCGCTATGATCCTGCAACCAGAGCAACTGCAGTAGAATTGCTGGGTGATTCATTCTTTAAGGAAGAACCTCTCCCAGTTTCTTTAAATGAATTGAAAGTTCCTGCAACAAGGGATGGGCAGGATGAGAAGTCTTCAGGTGAGTGGGGTGATTACAGGGACATGGCTTCGGATTCAGATTTTGATGATTTTGGTGGGGTGAATGTCACCAACACTGACAAAGGTTTTGCGATCAGATTTTCTTGATGTGTGAAGGTTATCAGGGATATGTTGTTTGTACTATTTGTTTATGGTATGGAAAACCTCCTTGTAGCTAGCAAGTGGAAAAATTATTACGTGCGGGTCCGGATTCATCCGGAGATCATTAAAAATGTGTCACATTGCCTCAAAAAATATACTAAGAGCTCGGTACCGAGCACGGAACCAAACAGTTTTCCCGTCCGGTGTCCGCACAAAATAATCCCTCTTGCAAATGAGAGAGTTGTTGGCCAAAGCGGCAACTTTAATATGCGGTGATCAAGAATAATTTAGTTTTACATGTTTTGTAGCTGCAGTTCTTAATAAAGTTTCAGTTGTAATATTATTATCATTTGGCTGAAAAGTGGGGATCTGCAATTGCAATTTTGCTTGTGAAAACTGGCCATGATTACTGTGCACTGAGATGTTTTGGCTGTACAAGTGATTCTTAAAGGAAGAAACTTTAGCATAAATCAAATTTTAAGGCTTCGTTTGGGACGGTTTTCTTAATGCTTCTTAAAGCGGCTTTCTAGTATAATTTTTTTAATTTTTGTACTAAAAAGCAGTTTTAAAAAAGGTGGAAGAAAGCCGTCCCAAAAGAAGCCTAAGATGGCGAGGGAATGCTAAAAATTGTGAGCCGTCTTCATTTTTTAGCTTTAGTTTTTGTTTGGGATGACTTTCTTACTGCTTTATAAAATTATTTTTTAGTTACAAATATTCTTGAAAGCAGGGAAAAAGCAACGGTCTAAAGTTATTTCAAACAAAATCTTAATTGAGCCGGCAAAATGCTCGAAGTTCTATGATACTTTTTTACTTATATATGACAAGGCATAATGGTACCTAAACTTTCTAAGTGCTTATTGATCATAAATGGATCATAAAGGGGCTCAAATAGGATATGGTTTGAGATTCTTTAGAAAGTAGAATCGATCGTATTTATTTTCCTATTTCAGTCTGATCATTATGTTATTTAGCCTGTAAACCAAAGCAAGTTCGCAAGGCCAAATTTATTCTTGAAATTATATTGGTAGCATAGTTACAAGTGCTCAATAGGTTACACAAATCTTACTACAAAATTATGTTCAATTAAAAGAATACAATATAAATATTTTTTATATATAATAAAAAAGTAATATTTATTTATCAAGTTTAGGAGATTAATTACATTAAACAGTATAAAATACATGATATGTATCATTTATCTCCAAACTTATGATTTGATTTCTTATCTTTTAAATCTTACTATTTCATTGATCTAGTCATTGTTGGTAATTGATTGAATTCATATAGGCATAAAAAATTCTTCTTGTATCATAATATAATATGCATTATTTAAATATGTTTATTATCATTTATTTATCTTCACAACTAATTTTATAAACCATAATAATTAATTTATGATTTTAACTTGCAATATGTTCTTATAAAATATAGCATTTTTCAGAGTAAATACTACTTTCAAATTTCATTAAAAATATGGTAGTGATTTAAGCTTTCAATTTTAACATTCAAATCTGAATAAATAAAACTACCTCTAACTAAGCCCAAATCAACTCTAAGGCTTCGTTTGGGATGTCTTTCTTACTGCTCTTAAAGCAATTTTTTAGTACAAAAATTAAAATTTTTTTATTAAAGAACTATTTTAAAAAGCAATAAAAAAACCGTCCCAAACCAAACCTAAAGCTTCATTTAGAACGGCTTCCTTGGTAGTTTTTTAACCAACTTTCTAGTACAAAATTTTCTATTTCTAAAAATTTTTGTACTAAAAAACTGCTTGAGAAAACAATAAAAAAAAGGCACAAAACTAAACCTAAGACTTCATTTAGGACAACTTTTTTCCCAACATTTTAAATTAGCTTTTCAGTTAAAAATTAAATTTTTATACTAAAAAACTATTTTAAAAAGTTAAAAAACTATCTCAAACAAAATCTAAATTGAAAAAAGAAACCTATTTAAATCCATAGTGCACATCATGATTACATACAGTACACAAAATAATTACAAAAAAATGATGAAATTATATGCAAAAATCTCATTAATTCTGAAACAAATCTATAGATAACACTCATAAAATCAAAATCAAACCAAAAGAGTTAGAATCTCGCCAAAAATTTGCATCCCACCTTTAATCCAACCTCAATAAGTAGAGAATTTAACACTTAAACAAAATTCTTCTCATTTAATAAAACTCAGACTTCACAGCTATACAAGCAATCGCCACGACAAGAAAAACAACAAAAAGAGAAACAAAGAAACTCAACGACAAGCTAACAAAAATCCTCTATAGAATAAATAGCCTAAACTTCATAAACGACTTAGCAGCTAACCAAAACTGCTTCTCACATTGTTGTGAAATGATAAATAGCAGAATTCCAAGAAAAACATCCTATACAACAAACGACTATCATAATTTTGGAAGAAAAACAAAGCAACTTTTGATTCTCCTGCAATGCCGGATGAGCCTTTTTTTTTTTTTTGCAACTTTGAAGTTATTGGTTTACTCAGCAATGCCAGAATTTTCAACATCTACCTCACCCATTCCAGTATCTTCTTCATCTTCGCTGTCTACATCTCCGTCAACCTCCTCATTGGCAGATTGTAGCTTAGCCAAATGCTCTGCAAGAAGCTTATCCTCGCGCTCACTCACCTGCAAAGAAACAGAAAGGTGAATATGGTTACTTCTGCTTCACCTAATCATATTTAGATGGAATAGTTTGATAGAAGTTTTGAAAACTTACAGCTCTTGGTGCTTCCTTCACTATGAGTTTACCCTTCTCGTTCTCTATTGCTTCAGTGCAAGCTTTAATTGCGTTGTTTAGAACACTTATTCCTTTGTCCTGCACATCAAATTCAAGGAGTTTAGAAGATAAAACAAAAACTTAATCATGGATAGTTCAATCATAGAATTTGTTAGTAGTAAAAATATCTCATTTGTAATTAATCCAAGTTGGTGGTCAGCCTTCTTCAAATTATGAAACATCAATATTGCTCCAGGTATTGGAGTTGGGTATATTACAAACGATGGCATCAGAGCGCAGATATTATCATCATCAAAATCAGAATTCATTATCACAACTACTCGACCTAATGAATCCTCAATTCAATCTCTTCTAGATCTAAATGAGTTAAAACTCATAATAATATCTAGTTTGGGCATCCAATGAAACTCATATCAACCCACATAACTTTTAACAATCAACCACAACTCGAATAATAAACAAGATGATAAAATGATTTTACCAAAGAATCATCCACATAACATAATAATGGAATACAAGATAACACAATACAATAATGTCCAACAAAGCCTTAGGTGTCAAGTATTAACGCCAGAAATTCATTCAAATCACAATCAAAAACACAAAGTGAGGCAACATAAGAATTGCTACATCCATGGTAATAGACAAGAACCAATGAATAGTGATTTGTTTTTGCAGACCACTCTCTTTATAGTACAAATGAATATTCTACCCATGTGTATCATCAGATTACAGGAAGCTAAAGCAAGATGATAAGTTATTAGCGAAATTAGGGGAAAAAGGTAAAATAAACGATTAACATTAAAAAAATAAATACTAAGCATCGCCAAAGAAAGATAATGTTCAACATAAAATAGAAAACATTATATAAAAAGCTACTAAACCTTAGTAAACCTTCAGCATCAATAAAACTTCTATAAAAGCTGATGAAAAAAGAAGAATAGATTATCAGCTATATCATTTATGATAACGCTTTTTTTTCCATTTCACAAAATATGCTTGATAAGGTCATTCACATGGCTTTGCTATATCATTTTATTATACTTACCTCCATATATGTTAATACTTTAGCTTGCGAATGATCTTCTAAACCACATGCAACAGCTAAGTACAGCCTTAACCACCATGGTACATGCATCATCTTATAAATATTTGCATTCCTAATCCACCACTAACCATGTGAAACTCCTATTAAAAACATATGCTCATGATGGAAAAACTAATTTGAATCCTTGACATTCACTGACCATTAATCATAAATGTTATGGCAAGTTAATGAAAACCTCCCAAGGCTAAACAAAGCATGAAGTTTCTATGTAAAGCCATATATGAGGAAATTTTGCCATAAGCATAATCAGCATTCACGCCAATAAAGTGAAACTTGATGCCAATAGTTGTGCCAGTACAACATTAGCAAATTTCTTCTTTAATATCAAGACATGCATATTAACTGCAGAATGTTGATACCTAACAATACCAAAGAAATAAAAAAAAATGTTATCTTTTCCAACTTAATTTGGTTTTACACCTTCAATCTATCGCTACAAACCATGCCAAGGAATTTCCTTAAAACTATGCTTCAAATATCACACAGACATAATTTCTCCAGATACAACAATTTGAAGGGAACAAAAAAAAAAGTAAATCAATGAACAGTTAAAACTGGGGTTTTTTTTTTTTTTTGTGGGGGGGGGGGGGGGGGGGGGGGACCTGGTCAAAATTTTCTCATATTTCAGTGTTTTTTGTCAGTTGGTTTCAAGCAAATTTCCTGGTGAAGCGCCGCAAAATGAACACAAACTGATCCATTAGAAACATGCAAGTGACAAAAAGCATGTTGTCTCTTGCAACACAATGCAACAATCCTTCGCAGACATTCTATTTCGCAGTGATTTAATCATGATGGCTTCAGGATCTTTTATAACGCTATCCTATAGTGACTCTTTTCCTTTCATGCCTTGCTGACGGCAAATGAGCATTTTTGTCTCTCATAATTCAAGGGCTTTCTTAACACTCTATGCTAACAACTTCCCTGCGAAACCTCTTGCTACACTTTTTAAGCTTGATTTTCATTATCCCTCTCATGAACTCACAGGTCGATGTTTACCCTTTCCACAGAATCTTTGGGATATAGGTCTTATCATGTGAATGGTAAGGACATATACCTGTTGTCTTTTTCGACTTAGTTCAATGCTCCATATAGAAGCTTGATGCCATTTTTAGGAGAGGTCGGTGATCCAAGAGGCTCTCTAGAAATGACATGTGGTTAAAACACTTGGCCAAGCTGTATCAGAGGATTTTCAATACAATTGACATCTAATAAGATTGAGCTACTAAAGGCTTGTGGGCTAAAATAGGCATACATCAAGTCACTAAGGAACCAAAATCAAATAAAGAGATTAGATCACAAAGGGAGGAGACCCTTCCATCAGATGAGCCACATTTGCCATATCATCAAACGGGACAGAAAAAAGCCTCAACAATAGAGGAGTGGTTAAAAAGAGGCAAGGAAAAAAGATTTTAAGCATCTTATCCATCCTTGTTCATGCTGAGTTCTATCAAGCGATTATTGCTGAAAGATTTCCTTTGCATTTTTTTTAATTTTATTTCAATGCCCCATACACTTGCTTGATGCCATTTGAGGAGAGGTTAGTGATCACTAACCAGAAGACTCTCTAGTAATGGGAGGTGGCTAACACTTTGCTAGGCTACTGAGTGAATTAGTGGATTTTTCAATACAATTGTTATTCATTAATTGAATATTACTTATAATTCATGTCCAATGATAGGCATATCTAATACAAGTTCAAGAAGGATCATGATTGTCAGTGTACAAAATTTAATTTAATTTAAATGCTCATAAAATTTCATCACATGCATTATTGTTACTAAAAATCAATGTTTAAAATTGCGTATTCGGGTATTGAGGCGTTTTTCATTCGTGAGGCGAGGCGTAAGCCTCAAGGCGTTTTGAGGCGTAAGCCTCAAAATCAAAAGATTGCGTAAATATAAAATGATAAATTTTTTATATACTAATGAGTGAATAATATAAAATATAAAAAAGCATAAGATATGAAGTGAAATCAAAATATCTCAATAATAAGACAACAGGAAATATAGTTCAACTCAAAATTCTATCTTTCCCAAATCACAGTATTCTTTTCATTAACATTTAATTCCAATTTCCAAAAATAAATAGCAATGACATATCACATAAGAACTCATAAGTCATCAGCACTGTCATCACTAAGGGGTTCTTCATGTGAATCATCATTATGGTGAACTGCTCTCTCCCCTTTTCTCTTCTCCTATAGAGTCCAACGTCGGGCATTTACTTCAAAATTTATGTAAGTTTTAATATATATAGCATGAGGCGTAAGCCTCATGCCAGTGAGGCGAGGCGGGCCTCAAGTTGGGCCTCAACCAAGTTTTGCGCAATTTTAAACCATTACCTAAAATTATGAGCAAAAGGAGCATATTTTTGGTCTGATTGAAATGTCCAAATGAAGTAAATGTACCTAAGTGGGTTCGTCCTAAAGTGAAAAATTGCATGCCGTCCAAAAAGAAATAAAGAAATTTAAGCAAATTTTGTGCATGGAAAATCAAGAAAGTGCGACAATGTCAACGAAGTAAATGTTCAAATGATTCTGAAATGAGGCCCATAGTCATCTTTCTAAGACGTTACATATTATGAACCATATATTAAATCAAAGCTCTCAAAAATGATAAAGGGCTCGCAAATCACTTGATAGGTCACTTTAGAACTTGTAAAAAAAGTATCATATCAGAAGAATATTAAGCAATTTGGAATTAAAGAGAAGATTAACAAAAATAAAAGGATATAACCATATTGTAGATAGTTAAGAGGTTCTAACATGTTAGCAACCAGTCAGTGCTCGAAATTAGAGAGCTGCAAGGATATGATTGAAGCTATTGGTCAATATGGATTAGGACTAAATACGCAATTTGATCTTGAGTTAAAAGTCCCTTTATTAGAAATAAAATTAGACGCCTTGATTATATTGGACATAATGTGCAACACATTAAATTCTAAGGTTGGAGGATATTAGAGAGCATGTCTACGATTATATATAATCATGGTATTGTCTTAACTTGTTGAGAAAGTCTGTAAATAGTGCAAAATTGGTAAACCCATTCTTCCTGATTCTTGCAAGCGTGCATAAGCACAAGAATAATTTGAGAAATACATGTGTTGCTGAAGAATAGAGCAGATCAAGATTTCGTGTGTACTATAAGAGAAAAAAGTTAAAGAATTTGACCTTAAGGCTTCATTTTGGAATAATATAACCTATGTTTTGAACATGAAAAACATACTAGTTAAAATGTTGAGATTAACTGAATGTTGAGAATAACTGAAGGTGACAGTGGTAAACAAAGCAAGGGATGTCATTAATGATTCGTTTGGAGAAAGATGAGTCTTCTATAAACCATTACATCGAACCAGCTACAATCTAAATCCATAATTGTTTTATAAGTACAAAACAAAAAATAGTCAAATGAGAGGATGAAAAGCGAATACAAATGAAGAGCTGTACTACAATCATGTTTTAGTTCTATTCTACACTGACTGCATCCACAATAGAGGTAATAAATATTTAGTTATGGCTTTATTTAACACAGAAATTTAATAATTGGTATTTATTCAGGCTAAAAATGTTTATCATAAAACTCGTATAAGTGGTGGAACATGCATGTTGTGAGGCAAAAACAACTAGGAAAAAGTCAAATTTATGGTGTTCAGCTTGACTTGCAGTTATATTTCACTTTGGTGAGCTTATTTAAACACTTAGATTAATAGAAAACAAAGAAATATGTGAAATTAAAAGCATCATGATGACCTAATGATCATCTGGTACAATCAAGTTGTATATAAGAGCATTAAATGAGGCATTTTGGAAATAAGCCAAGCCCAGGAAAATGTAGGATGCCTGAGAAGAGTGTTTTGATGATGAAGACAGAAGAGTGTTTTGATGATGGACACCATACATAAAGAGAAATTGAAGGGATGACGAGGATAGTTGACCAAAGATTTCTTTTAGATTTAATGAGGCGGATCATCCTCATTGAGAGCTAGTATGTCTCAACATTCATTTTCTACTAATGCTATTCATGAAAGAGAGGACGATAATGAATCAGTGGAAGAAAAAAAGGTTTGGAAAATTATTTCAACTTAATCTAAAAAGAAAATAAGAATGTAAGAAAGGACGATGATTATGAATATCAACCTTATCTTAGAAAATTCTTTTTATTTTTTAATGAGATTTTAAGTGTTTAATTTAAATTTTTTTAATGAATTTAGTACAAATTTTGGCTTCGAATTTTCAACTCTTCAAGTTTGATCTGATTTGTTATTTAGCATATAATATGTCACGATATGATTGTGAGTCAATCTAACCTTGACTCGGGATTGGTTCAAAGCCATTCAGCTGGATTGAGCGAAGAAAAATCTACCTATAAGCTAGATAAATTTAATTTCAGATTGGGCCAAACCTAGTTTTTTTATGCTCAAACTAAGCTAAATTTAAGCCAAAATAATAAATTGATTTTCTATCAACTTTCAATCTTTTAAGTTTCCAACATAAATATATGCAGTAATAAACTAAATAAATGCATAAATAGATCCATAAATACATTTATGCATGGATACAAATATAGGGACATACATGAATATTGTATAGATGCATTCAACATGCATGCACAAACATTAAAGCTGATCACATACAAGCTTGATTTGATTCACACTGATTACACAAAATTCACTATCATTCAATCAGAACTTATTGGTAGGGTAATTAGTTTAAATTCAAGCTTGATCCAAGGAAAATGTTCATCTAATTTTCGAGCAGTCTTTGGCCCTATCATTAGATTCATAGCATTGGTCTTACAATTCATATGATTAGGTCTATTATTGCATTACTTCTTATTCTTGACTGATTTTTATGTATCATGATGATTATTAGAACTTGCAAGTTATGTTCTGAAAGTGGGTATTCAAATTAAGTATTCACAACACTCTTCTTTATTAGTTCAAAATGTGACTTCTAAATTCATAACATTATTAGGTTTCAACAAGTTTTTCACCTCATTCATTGAAGTATCCATGCTTTATTAATGCATAAAATTATACATGTTAAAGAATCTTGTGATTTTGCTCAATTATTGCAACGGGTATTATACTATATGAACACAAAGTAGAGCTTGTGAGTAAGTTAATTGGCGAAAGCATTGTTTTTCTTTGTAATTTGCACATTTAAGGAAAAGTGACCAATACTACATTGCACTGCACATAGTACTTTAAACATATTGTATTGTGGAATATAAATGTCAATAAGCTTGGGATGCAAAACTTAGTCCAAGACTTAGCTTTGAGCTTTCGAGGGCCAATAGATCATAAAAGCTCTATGACAAGAAGCATTACATACCAAAGACAGAAGATAGAACCCCGAATTATGCTTTACAAACTAATCATTAATTTCTTCTCTTGACTTTATATATAGTAAGTGTTGATCAAAAAAATCTAACCATTAAATAGTACAGCTTAAACCAACTAGCAATCTTCATAACTCATCTCCTCATCTTTAGCCATCAAAAGGTCTAAAAAGCATTAATCAACAAAGTTTGTTCATCATATAATCAACTTTAAATCAACTGAAAATCATATTCATAATTAGAGCTATCCCAAAACATGGGACTGGCTTTACAAATCAATTGTCTTCATTCATTCTAGTTCGGTGCTTAATGAGATATTCATCCTAAAATCAAGGGTAGGAATAAAAATCAAAAGATTAAAAGAATGATAAATTCATCCCCTACCTTGCTATCTAGTTCCTTGAAGAAAATCATTACATCAGTTGTTTATCATTAATTCAATGGGGGTACAAAATGCTCAACTTTTCTGCACTGTAGAATCATAGCCGGTTTTATTTAAAACTTATATATAGCAATCTTATTTGCACTTAGGCTCTATAACTAAAGAAAACATGAAACTGAATAAAACCATTATCCTCTCGATATTCATACGAATTTATGAAACTCAAAATCCATAAGAACGAAGTATATAAAACTAAGAGCCATAAGTGAACACAAATTAACCATGTTAATCACCAACCTTCTCCAAAGTTTGTGTAGTAAGCACATACAGAGGAGGAGCGACAAGCTTAATTTTAACAAGACAATCATCATTTCCTGCTGCTTCTGCCTTCCTCATAGCCTCCTGCAAATTAAATGATCAGACTTTAGAAATAGGTCAGATGAATTAAACACATACACTTGATTGAAGAACCAAAACAAAGCGTGCATTCATGACAAAAGAAATAAAAACACCATCAAACTGACAAGGCGTCCATTTGATTGAAGAAACGAAACAAGACGTCCATTCATGACAAAGAACCAAAACAAGGCAGCCATTCATGACAAAGAAATAAGGAAAGGAGTCCCAAAACCTTTATGTGTAGAACACCATCAAATTGAAAGCACTTCATCTCAATATCAGCGCGTATCTTTAGCGGCTGTGGAGTCATCCTCCTCCTGATATTCTTCACAAGGGCATCCTTCAATTCCTCTGTCAAAGCGGGTTCAACCTTCGTCACCTGAACGAAATTTTCAGTCGCATAAGCATAAAAACACAATAAAAGCAAATTATTTCTCTTTTAAATAATAATATCAAATCTTCATCGAAGTCAGAATAACCTCTTGCCCATCCGACCCAATTTCCTTTACTTCCTTAGTGAGCGGTTCCAGTACCGAATCGGGATCCGAGACGATCAACTTGAACGCCTGCCAGAACAAAAAATAAGTAAAGAAAATTTCAAATTTTGCATTCTAAAGTAAGTAGAGGTGCCCGGGATCTCAATGAAAGAAGACCTCGAAGGCGTGACCGAATTTGCGGTACAGCGGCCAGCCGATGTGGATATAAAGATCCTCCAGATCGATGCCGACAGTTTCGGAGACGTGACGCATGATGGAGTGAACTAACTTGCTCTTGTTGTAGCGCTCCTCACAGGCGTGAACGTCCTCCTCGGAGACTCGGCGCTTGCTGAGATCGATGTAGCCCTTATCGCGGTCGACCCGGACGACCATGGCGGGCTCCTGGCGGCCTACGCGGATGAGAGAGTTGACGCTGCGGATGCGGCGGCGAGATAACTCATTAAAGGGTATCATGCCCTCGATGTTGTTGTACTCGAGTAAAGAGACGTAGGCACCCATCTCAGCGATGCTCTTTACCTGAATCATTACCGCTGTATCCACTTCCGGGAAGCGTGCCTCGTACATCCGACACTCAAGATTCGGCGAGTTCGTCGTCGCCATGACGAGCGCAGAACGCCGCGTCGGATTTAGGGTTAAGTTCGCTAGGGTTTTTTGGCGGCTGATAGATCGATATGGATGAGGAACGGTAACGTCGATTCGTGAAAGAGCCTCTCTTAAAAGCAAACGGAAAATTTTTATTTTACCTGACCTATAAACCGCCCCAAACAACCGCCACCCTACGCCACGCCACCGCATCCCACCCGCCTCATTGTTATAAATTATAATAGTTCAAAGGCCAAATTTTAAGGAGCACGCGATCAATTAGAATTAGTAGTAGGAGCATAAAATTAAAAAAAATTAAATAAGAGCAAACAAGCCCTAAGGTTGGAACAATTATTACGTCCTCCGAGCTAAGTCCGGTCGGAGCTAAAATCGTGCCAAAAAACGTGAAATATCGAGCAAATACCGAGCAATACCAAACAATAACGAGGAATACCATCATGTGAAGACCCAATACCGAGCTATACAGAGCAATACCGAGTTTTTCCTAGAAAAAATCGGTATTTTTTTGTATAGCTCGGTATTGCTCGGTATAGCTCGGTATAACTCGGTATTGGTCTTCACATTATGGTATTCCTCGTTATTACCAAATAATACCTAACAATACCGAGCAAATATCGAGTTTTTTGGCGGGATTTTAGTGCTGACCGGACGTTCCTCTACGTACGTTCACCGGACCAAATAAAAGTTCCTAAGGTTGGACGGCTAATTTGTGCATTATTTGCATGCGCCAGAATTTTTGGCGCATTCTATGAATGTACGAATTCTTTAGGCGCATTTTATAGAATGTGTCAATTAGGGTGGTTCATTCTATCTGAATTAGCCGGTATACACCGTATTGCGAAAATTTTTGTCCGACGCGAGGACTAGATCATGTTTTCCCCAACGGTTTGGTGGATTGATGTGTGAAAAGTAAATGTTGTGGGGCTTGATTTAAAAGAAGGGAGATATGTTATGGCTTATAAAAAGCCCCTCACGCTCTAGAGAGCTTCACCCCCAATTTTTTTGAAGCTCTCAGTTTTGGTTGAAGAAGGTTAATGATAATTTTTGTTTTTTTTTTTTTTTTCTTATATAGAATTTTCTTATGTTATGTTTATTTTTCTAAAAATTGTATTTAAGGGAAATTTATAGTGAATAATTTTATTGCATGCCTCTTAATGCAAAATGTTGTATATGAATATTATTGCTAATTTGATTTCATTGCTAGTCATTTTTTTTCTTAGTAAGCTTAAAATATGATTTAGAAGTAAAGATTTTGGTTGTTTACATGTGATAATTATATTTTCGCCCGATTGGTAATTTTGTATTTTTTAACAATTAGTTTGTTCTTTTTTTTTTCCTTGTTATAAATTTTGGTAATTATATATTTTTTATATTAAATGAAATATAAACTTTATAAATTTAAATTATTTATAACTATTAACTTTTGCTTATAACACATATTTTTAGTAATTATATTTTTTTATATTAAATGAAATATAATTTTTATATTAAATTTAGCTTATGTAATATAATTATAATTATTACAATTAATTTTTTTCACAAATCATTTGAAATTTCTATTAAATTTTAAACCAAATTTAACTATATACGCCGCATCTAACTCGGAAAATGAGAAAAACCTGGGATTTTTTGAGTGAATCTAATACGTCGAATGGTTCAGTGCATTCAAAGAATGCGCCAATGAGTTCGGCACGCCGAACCCAATCACACATCTGCTCGTTTTCATATTTTTTTAAATTTCGTTCTCCTCTTCCTAAAACTAACATAAAGCCTGCTCGTTTTTAAAAAATTGGACTAGTTCAAATAAGTTAAATATATATGATATTTCCTTTTTTTATTATTGGTAAAAGTTCATCTAAGACTATCATAGAAATGAGATTTAAAAAAAAAAAAAAAATTCAAACAAGTGGTTGGTCGAACTTTCTCTTTCCAGTGTTTTCTATGATAATCTCTGAGTGTACACATTGATGTATGAAAAATTTTCACAAAGAGGATTGTATCTTCATTTTTGAAAATGTATTTGATACATCATCAAAAAATTATCTTGATCGGGCACAAATCTCGAGGCAACATCAAGTTGGAAACTTCCTAAATTAAAATTGGGACCATTTGAACTCTGATTTCAGCAAACTTATACTCAAACTGAATGTCTCGGAAATACGAACCCAACAACACCAAATTTGACTCAATTTGAGCCCAAATGGGTCTAAATCGAGGACCCGAAGCGCTGATAGAAGGTTCAAATTTCAACTTGGATTACAAAACAGTTTTCAAACATGACATGCTTATAGTCGAATCGAGCTGCTCGATAAGAAGAATCCAACGAGCCCATGATTTCCAAATTTTGATATCATTAAGACCTTCAAATGTCTAACTAACAGTCCACGGTCAAAGGATTCAACATCGGACATCCATCCAAATCACTCCCCAATTACCCTTGATCTTCCTCCTATTTAAGAACCATGTCACTCTAGAAAATTTATAAATAGATCCCTCCTCCCTCTTGAAAGGGGACCCCCTAAGCTTAAGGAGAAAATAGAGAGATCAGATATCCTCTTGCCTCATAGCCTCCTCGAACACCACTTGGAATTCCGCCAGACCACGACATGGTGCTTAGAGTACTCTCGGAGTTCTGTCAGACCATCACTTGATGTCTGGAGTTTTACCGGACCACCACTTGAGGTCCTGAGTTCCGCTGGACCAGCACTTAATTAAGGCCGGAAGTTCTGTAGGACCACTTCCTGAGGCTCAGACTTCTGCCGGACCACCACTTGAGGCTCTGAGTTCTGTCGGACCATTACTTAAGGCCCAAAGTTTTACCGACAATCACTTGAGGCTCAAACTTCTGCCAAACCACCACTTGAGGCTTGGACTGTTGATTCTATATAGGCTATTAAACCTAAGCTATTGTCCCAAGGCTAACCAAGAGGGGGGTGAATTGGTTATTTTAAAAAAATTTCTTGGATTTTTAAATAGAAAATCGTTTTGAATCTCATAGCAAGTTAATTTAAGTTTTAAAATAAACTTTTCAACCATAGTAAATAACTTGCAGTAAATAAATACAGAAATTAAAAGACACAAAAAATTATATTGGTTCGGTCAAACACGACATACATCCACTCCCTGAAGACTCCTTCTTCAGGTATTGCATTATTACCAAAGTGACTATCCTTTTGCCCCCACAGCAAGGTAGAGAAGCCTTTATAAAAACTCTCTTCCACTAATCGCTAGTGCGACAAAGAACCGTCATCCTTTCACATCCTCCAAGTGTTGGCAGAGCACCATAATCTGTTTACACCCTCCAAGTATCGGTAGAGTACAATCATCTGTTCACACCCTTCAAGTGTCAGTAAAGTATCGTCTTCTGTTTACACCTCCAAGTGTCGGCAGAGTACCATATCTTCTTCAAAGATCTTCTCACATGCAACTAGAAAAAAGAAAAGAATAGTAATTACCAAAAATACAAAGAGATCCTTACCTTTGAGTAACCTTGTGAATCCTTCACACTCCACTTGCAATAAATCCTCTTAAACACGCTCCCACACTCTCTTTCACTTGCTCTTGAAAATTCATGAAGACAAGACATTTTCACATCAATTTTAGAGGACCTTTTATATCAAAGACACGAAAAATCATCTGGACGAAATTGTGGCATACGTACGATGAAGACATCGTATGGTACTATCAGTTAAAAAAATTTTCAAGATCGTTTGGATAAAAAAGGGACTCGTCTAATTCATATCCTGGACGACATACGTACGATGACGACATGGTATGGTATGAACCGTTCAAAAAAACTTCGAATTCGTCGGGATAAAAAGAAACCCATTCAATTCATACCCTGGATAGCGTACATACGAATGATATATCGTATAGTATGATCCATACTTAGAAAACAATTTTTTACTTTATGTTCATTTGACTGCTTGTAGGGAAAAATAACTGAACAAATCGTCCCATACAAAAAGACTTCGTACAGTTTGATTAGTTAAAAAATTATATATTTTAAACTCTCTTCTCGGTGTGTGTGTTTGTGTGAACAATTACTCAATTACAATCACATTCTCTCAAACTCAATAAAATAAAAAATACAGACTTCAATTACAATAAACCCTAAATCGGTCTGATTTGAAGTCTTCAACAATTTAGAGTATGATTTTCCTGAAATGTTAGTACACAAAAACAGCAAAATAATGCATCCAAAATATATTAGGAGAAATAATAATAAAAAATAATATTTAAAATCATTAAAAATATAAAAGTTGCAAAAATATCAACAATCAAGAACTAAATTGCAATTATCTCAACATAGACTTCTGCCAGACCACCATTTGAGGCCCTGAGCTTTGCCAAACCAACTCTTGAGACCCTAAGCTCCGTCGGACCACCACTTGAAATCCTAAGTTCCGCTGGACAACCACCTGAGGCCTGGAGTTCCGCTAAACCACCACCTAATTCTCAGAATTCTACCGGACCACCACTTGACACCCGTAGTACAACGAGAGTTCTGCCAGATCATCACTTTATGCTGGAGTTACGCCAGACCACTATCTAACATCGAATTTCTGTCGGACCACCAGTCGATGCTGAAGTTCTGCCAAACTAATGTCAGGCTACCAATTGACTCCAAAATTTTCAAGTAGCACCGGACTTGTACTAGTCCGTTCACCAAGCGATGCTGGGTTTTTATCCCTATTTGTCACTAGATTTCAACCAAATGGTTGACATTTGTATTATGATTGCCCTCAGGGATGAGTTAACCCATTTTAATCTACCCAAACACTAGTGGAATCATTTCAGACTGGATCAGGCTCCATGATTTTTCCCCTTTCTAGGGTTTTCCATGTAAAAATATCTTATGTTCTCTGTGTGTGAATTGGATATCTGTATAATTCTAAGACACAATATTTTAACTCTATCACCGAGTTTATTCTAGCCCGCTATAATATTTAAGATTGGTGATCTTATATACTTTTTTATTTAAATATGATTACATCGACACAATCGAAATGCTAAACTCATAATGACATTAGATGCCACATTATCTATTATGAATATGGTATAACTTTCCTGAAACCTTCTTTGAATCTTGCTAAGAACAAGGTTTG